ACAATATGTAGCTCTTCTCATTGACCCGAGGGTTTACCAACGCAAATTGCCATGTCCATGCGACAAGCGCTGACTGGTATAGCTTTTATTCACACACAACAATGGACGTGCGGCGGCAAACGTCTCTAACAACGGAACGCTTGGAGCAAAGTTCCTGGCAGTCAACATGATGGTAGATGGCATATCAGATACGCATGACGCCTCACGACATTTGTACTTGGGGAGCAGTGATCCTCTTGAGTGAGAAATGCACACGCTATAGCCTAATGTGTGAAGTGCGGCGGAATTTCGACGTCTGTCTTGGGGGACACGACCTTGGCGAGAATATAGCAGGTCATCGCACCTTCGTGGTCACGACGGGGATCAAGAGGCGCCCTCGAGCGACTCCCTTGCGATATCTAGGGTCGTGAAGGGATACCTCGCAGTACCTGCGAGGTTCGGGACTCGGTGAGTGGTGTCGGGCCATGAACCGGATCTTATAAAGACTTGCGTTCTAGTGATGTAAGCTCGGGCAGTATGCTAGTAGATGGCATTATGATCTTGACAGCATCACGATGCAATGTCAGTGCAGCTTCACCGTCAGACAACTCCTCCACGCTCCTCCATGCGTCGCTTGCTCGAGTCCAGTGATACGAAGGACATCGCCATCCTCGCAGCTCAATGTCGCCTGCTGTATGTTGCAAGACTCTCCTCCAGAGTCAAGGGAGACCCGTTGCGGCTTCCACTTGATGCCGGCAATCGTAATGTTCGCCAATGAGATCCCGTCTTGGTAGTCTCCGGATACCCTCGCGCGAAGCGTGTTGTTGGCAAACGAGAACTACGCACACATCAGCAATGTCATGACAAGCACTTTGATCAGTGCAAAGTCCCACCTCAACGTTCTTAGTAGCATTCGGCACCAAACTAATCCCATCGTCCAGATACAGCTCTCCCCCCGCCTTCCCATTTCCATCCAATGCGACAATCAGACTCCAAGGACTCAGTCTAGACGTCTTGGTCGTATTACCCGCCTTCTGCATCGGCACAACGTACCCTCCCCGTACATGAATAGGCTGATGCACAAGCGGCGCAATCAAAGTCTTGTTCTCCCCAGCCACCGCCCCAATCTTCTGCAAAGTGTAGAAGTCATACCAGAGCGTCCCATCCGCAATCCCTGGAAACACGCCCTGCACGCTCGTCGCGAGGGGAGCAAGGACTGGGGTGACGAGGAGGGCGGGGCCGGACATGAATTGCGTCTCCACGGCTTTGAGGGAGGGATCATTCGGGAACTCCCACGGGAGGGCACGGAGGACGGTCTCGCCTGCGACGTTGGCGCGGTGGAAGAGAGTGTATGTGTATGGTAGCAGGCTGTAGCGGATGTTCATGATGCGGCGTGTGGCTTCGGCCGTCGTCGACCAGCGGTATGCTTCTTGGGCGATGGTGTTACCTGATAGAGTTAGCGATATCCATCGACGAGGTTTGCTTTGAGGATCACCGTACGGTTGTTGTGGTTCCGGTACAACGGAAACCAAGCACTCAGTTGCATCCACCTCGTGCAGAGCTCCATGTCTGCATTGCCATTGAAGCCGCACGTTTCTACCCCGAAGTACTGCAACGGGCTTCAGTCAGTCATCACATACCTTACTTGAGGGTTCATCATGCCAGATGACTCACTGGTATACCGGCAATGCTGAACTGCAATGCCTGACTAATCCCAAAGTACATGTTGCCCCACATGCTGTTGGTGTCTCCGCCCCAATGCCCTGTCATCGTCAGCCCGGCTGTCCGTAGCTTAGCACAGCTCTACTCACCCGAGAAATTGCCACTGCCGCTGAACGTGCTTCGATTGATGAAGAACGGTCGTTTCCCGGGGAACACAGCTTTCAACGCATTATACGTTGCATTCCCACTCGTGTGACCGTACAGGTTGTGAAGCTCGTACTCGGTGCTATTGTACGGTCCATCATTGTGAGTAGCGTCGGGACTAATGACCTGCTTTTGCAGACTATGGCCGGGTAAGAAGTTATTGATAGCGTACGGCGGGTATGTCAGATTCCTGACGTCTGGCGTGGCGAGCGTGCGGCCGACGGTTGGCGTGGGTGTCACGCTTGGGGTCGGGTACATGATCGATTGACTCATCATGGCGGAAGCAGCGGAGGAGGCTTCCGTGGCGTTGGTGATGTTGAACATCTCGGGGTACCGATAGTCCACAGCGACCGAAGTGTTCGGATCGCCCGGCAGAGCAAATGGGACGTGGATGGGGTTCTCTTCTCTCAAGCCTTGTCCACAGCTGCCGGTACAGAAGGATGTCGCATCGTTAACGTCCAACCAAAAGCCGTCGTAGGCGAGTTTCTCGTGAAACGCCAGACACTGCTCGGTCCAGAATTGCTGTGCCTGTGGTGTGATGAAGTCTGGGAATACGCTGAAGCCCGGCCACTCCACGCCGTAGTAAAAGCTATCGTTGCCGTCTCGAATGTATGCTTGCAGCTCCGCGCCTCGATCGTAGGGCGGATATGCGTCGGAGGCGTTCGCCGGGTTCGGGACATAGATGTTGGGGTCTAGAATGGGCATGTAATACTGCCCGTTAGCATGCAATCGGTCCAGGAAGGCCTTGCCAGGCCCAATGTCATAGTGGCCTGGATTGTCGGTGAAGTCTCGGTTCGTCTTCAGGTAATCCAGGTCGCTCATCAAGCCTTCGAGTTGGATGTTCTGAGCTGCATATGCATCGACGACGTCTTGCAAATTCGACCAATTCTGATAGGACCATCGGACTTGTTGGAAGCCTAGATGCCAGTAGGCAGGAAGATATGGCGTATTGACGATTCCTGATTGATACTGGCTGATGACTTCCTTGGGTGTAGATCCAGAAAGGAAGTATAAGTCGAAGCTTCCTGATAAGGTGTGTACGAGGTCAACGGCATTCTCGAAGACACAGATCAGCACATTAAATGCTCACCTCCAATCGTTCTGTACGTGATGCTTTCATCTCTCATCAGCCACTCCTGGCCGTGCGCATTACGGGCATAGACACCATGCGACAGGGATGAGTCCTTACTGCCGTTACCGTAGCGGGTTTCGAGGTATACGGGGTGCACGCTGTGACCATTGACATCCAGCTCTTGATCGTTGTCTACGCGCAACACCGATCAATGCCTATACCCGGCGAGGTAGTCGCTTTGAGGGCATGGACATACCAAGGTTGTAAGCATTCCAAAACGTTTGTGTGAAGTTATTTGGGATGCGAAACCCGCGAAGATTCTCCGCGAGTCCATATATGTTGTATTGCGGTACCATGTTGGTGACGAGCTCCAGAAACTGATCCTCAAATACAATTTTGTGGCCGTAGGTGTCAAAGATAGTCTCGCCAGAACTGGCGCGCGTGATCCTAAACTGGAAGCTTGGACTGTTCGTCCAAGAGAAGGCCAGGTCACTACTGGCTTTGCTAGCACCGTAACCAATACCTGGCTGCGGCGTAAGACTCGGAGACAGGATGTACAAGGACTGGTTGCTTGGCTGCAGGTGCTTCGGGTATATGCGCACTGCAAGACGTTCCTGGCTCTGGTATTGGACGGATAGCGTCAAGTCCTTGACATCATTGCCATAGGCGTTGCATCCCTGGCCGGCGAGTGTGAGGTCTGCAGTGAGTCCAGTCGTCGTG